TTATATATCTCGATAAAAATTGACAATTTGTGACTTTTTTTGTCATGATTTTTATAAATTGTCGCTAAAACTTACAATTAGTGACTTTTTTTATGACAAATTTTTTCCGTAGGACCTATTAGACAATCAATTCACTTATTAAGATCTATACGTAGGTACTCCTAATATCTAAAATGACCAAGGTTTTCTCCGGCTCAAAATTTTAATTGGTTGCTGGTCGCTTCTGTATTTTTTTAAAAAATTAATAATTTAAATTTGATTCACTTATAATTCACAAACTTAATATTAGATCCAAATAAAAAATATATATATTACCCAATATTTAGGTCTCGTTTGGAAACATACTATTTTAATAACTTTTTAACTAAAATATAAGATAAAAAAATCATGTTTGGAATGGCTTCTTGATTTTTTACAAAAAAAATATGCAAAAAATACAGAGAAAATAAAATCTTTGACTTTTTGGTATATGTTATAGGTTTTTTAATTTTTTAGTAACTTTTTGACTTTTAAACTAATACACTCGCATGCCAAACAAGACCTTAATGGGTTAATGGACAAATAAAATTTAAAGAGTAAATTACACTCACTTTTCTTAATATTTGGAAAAAAAAGACAATCAATCTCATATTTTTATTATAATTACATTGACATCTTTTTTTAATAAGATTAGAGTGATTAAACTTTTAATGCTAATAGTAGGTAGATATTGAAATAAATAAAGATAAATATACATTTTAATAAAAAATAGATAACGACATCATTTTTTATTCATACAACTAACAAATTGTTGAAAAATGATTTTATAATAACTTAATTTTTGCCAACTTTGAGTATTAATTAAGGTGGGACTCATGCGTTATTTTTTGCACGTTCGGATGGTAACATGTTCTATGTCACGTAGTGAATAATATCGTGTATTTGATTACTCAAAACCATTTACTGGTAAATGGGAATTCAACTCACATTTGAGTTTTGTGAAAATAATTTTTGGCGAGTTTCCTATACATTTGTTAAATGTGCTTGTCCCATAGGCCCCGTTTGTTTTCCTCTTTCATAGTCCGGAGTAGACTATGAATGATGAACAGTACACATACCTCCTGTTTGTTTTGACAATGTTTGCGCCAGAGTCATAGTCTGAACGGACTGTGAATCCCCTCAAGCCAACGGATTAACAATCCATCATGGGACTTGGTATTGAAAAAAGAAGCCGTCAGGATTATAATGTAAATGACTATACTATCCACCATATCATCAAACAGAAAAATAGATCCCTCATCCAAATTTTTAACCACACTCAGAAACAATCAATGATTTCCACACATAAAAAAATAAAAAAAAAAAATCAACTGCTTTTGGCCCCGTTTGGTGTAGCTGTTAAAACAGCTTATAGATTATAGCTTAACAGATTATAGATTATGATTTTAATTAGAAGTTGTTAATCTGTTTGGTGTAGCTGTTGGATTATAGATTTAAGTTGCTGAGTAGTGTTTGTTAAATAAGCTGTGAAATAGCTTTTTCAATTAATTTTTATTTTTTGTTTGTCTACATTTCTCATAAAAAATAATAATAATAATCTATAGTCCATTTGAGTCTTTTTCTATTTTTAAAAAAATAAGAATAAAAAAATTTAAGAGTATAACCATAAATTAACATGTCCACAGCAGAAGCTGATAATCAGAAGCAAGGGGTGAACTGCTTCTCAGAATCAGCTTTTTTGAGTTAAAATAAGCTGTTAGAATTAGAAGCTGTTTGAAATAAGTTTAACCAAACAGTCCAAAATAACTTTTTCAAAGTTAAAAGCCATAAGTTGGCTCTGAAGAGCTGAAACAAACACCCCCTTTAAATTTTTTAACAAATTTCCAAAATTACAAATATCAAAAAATAATAACAAAAAAGATCAATAAATTCACAAACAGATTACAAATATCATCTAACAAGTTCTCAAAATCAACAAGATAATAATAAAAAATTAACAAAATCACCAAGAGAGAAGACTAATCTAGCACTCTGGTCTTCATCGAGTTCGCCTCACCTTGAATTTAAAGGTCAACATCGTTGTTGACGAATATGAAGGTTGAGATCATCGTTGATAGAGCTTCAATCAGTTTGAACTTGTGGTCATCAATGGCAAAGCTTAAGCAAGAGAGAGACATGTGAGGTAGAAAAAGAACCTGAGTGAATTAGCAGGATATTTGCACAATAAGGCCAAGTCCACACTAATGGGATGAACTTTTTTCAAAACCATGGGCTAGTTTTGGAGAAACCATTGGTTGGTTTCTTTAATAATAATAATAATAAATAGATTAATAGTTGAATTCTTTATTATTTTTAATTATTTTTAATTATGTAATTTTAATTTTAGTTTTTGAATAGTTTAATTGGGTAAAGCATTTATTAGTTGGTATAAATTCAAATTTGATACTAATACAATAAGGGTATTTGTGTAATTTTACATGGTTAATTCCACTCCTATCTCTCAAAACAAACATGAACTATTACTAGTCTATTGGTTATCAAATAAATACAATTTTTCTTAGTCTCCTCACTAGCAATTCCCTTACTAACAGTCCCCTCACTGATAGTCCTCTCACTAGCAATCCCTTCTATTCTACCTCTAAAAACAAACAGACCCATATAGGAAAGTCAAGAGGTTTTATATAAATATATAAATCTTGAAGTTTAGATTTTAGGTTGGGCCCAAAGGGCACACAAGTTTTGTAAGAAAGAGAGTTATGGACAAAATGAGTTGGACCCAAATTCACCACATGCACACCACCAACCGTCTGATCCACCATGATAAATTAATCCATTCTATACTTTTGGACAAAATTCTTTTGAATTTTTTTTTTAAAAAAAAATCTTGCACGAAAATTCAAAATTCGTTTTCGTTTTCGTTTTTGTACCAAAATTCAAAATTTGAATTTTTCAACCGCTTTCCTTCTTACCGGTTACCTTTTCGTCCATTCACAACATCAATGAAGGCATACTCGAACAGGCATCTGTTTGCTATAAATAGCATTTCCCATTTCAACAATTTTATTCATTCATTTCATTTCTTTTTTCGTTTCTTCCTTCTCTAGTTTTCACTCTCCATTGTTTCTTGCATTTTCTGCAAGTTAGAATTTTAGGAAGAGTACGTGAGAAATAGAGAGTTCAACATTGCTTTGGTTAGCCAAGCTTGAATTTGTAATGTTGCAAATTCAATATTAGTCGTTGCGTCTTAAGAAATAAATGATGGTCAATCTTGGAGCACTGAAGCGAAAGCGAGAGCAAGAGCAAGAACAAGAGCAAAATCTACTTTAAGAAGATTGTATCAAACACAAATCTCGACTTAAAGATATTTGTCTGTGCACACTATAAGCAATAAATTCATAATTTAATTTATTTAATTATTTTTTGAATTGTTCTATTCTGTTACTTACTTTATTTATTCAATTAAATTGCACACACATTTACATAGAGAACCACTGGGTTCTAAGAAAAATTACTAATGAAAAACAGTCTAATTGTTATGTAAATTAAATCTCAAGAGAATCTAGTGTAATAATACTAAAAGCACAGACTAATTGTATATTTTTCAAACTTCGAATGAAGTGAGTATAATTTATCCAAATCTAAATCATTACTTTACAAAAAATATCAAAATGGCCAATTTAGGGGGAGTAGCTCCTCTCATGACTATATCTTCTTCATAACCCTCAAGACTCCATTTTGTAGGTCTTGTAGGCCCCTACGATGGTGATCTGAATAATTCATCTCGTAGGTTTCGAAGAGAAAAACATATATGCAAAAAAATCAACTTGATCAGAAATGTTAGACACACTAAATAATTATGTTTTGTTTTATGAAATTGACGGTAAATATAATTTTAAATTAAAATCGTTCATTTTATAAAATAAAATAAGATAAGTTAGTATTTTATCGATACCCAATTAATCTATTTTTTGCATATTATGTTTTCTCTTCAAGGCCTATGAGATAAACGGTTCAGATCAACAACATACTTTTGAAGAACAGATCTAAGGTAACAAAGGTCATCAAAGGTCATTGTAGAACCCCACGAGACTGTCAAAATAAAGTCTTAAGAGTTACGTTGAAGATGAAATCTTAAAAAGAGTTGCTCCCCAAGGTTGAAAGGTTCTCTCTAGTTTGTATAGACCGGAGAAAAGCCATTTTCAAGGTATATTTGGAAACTATTTTTGTTGATTTTTTGATTTTTTACAAAGATGTGCAGAAAAGTTAAATGAATAGTTGACTTTTTGGTGGTACTCCCTCCAGCCCCTTTCGGGGAATTTAATTTTTTTTTATTGTACAATTATTACACTTTAAAAATATTAGATTTTCAAAATTATTCTTTTAATTTTTTTTTTGGAAATATCAATTGTTATAATTAATAAATTTTAAAAAATGGCAAAATAAGAAATTCATGTCATTTTAGTCCTTAATTTTTTTAAATAGGCTAATATTTTAGGATAATGAAAAATGGAATAAGAGAGCAATATTTTAGGACGGGTGACCTAATTTTTTTTGACTTTTGACTATTTTAAGTGGTTTCCTAAGGTGATTAATATCCCTAATATAAAATTAGGTAAGTTGAACACAAATTTATGGAAATTTATAAAATCACATAAATTTTAAACTTTTACAAAAGCTTTGTTTGGGAAGTGGGTTGGCTTTTTGACTTTTTTGACTATTTTAACCTGGGACTAAAAAATCTAGTTTGAGAAGGGCTTTTAGCTTTTTTGAATTTTTTGTGAGAGAAAGAATGTAATGATTATGGATTGGATGTGATGTTTTGTCTTGTTAAGTTAAAAAATATATTTTATTTTTTGTGACTAAAATAATCAAAAAAGCCTAAAAACCAACTTCCTAAACGGAGCTAAATTAATGTTCAATTTACACATTTTTATGAGAATTTTCCTCCGTTTTGTTTATATATTTTTTTGACATTATAAGATTCGCTCAATAAAAACAGTTGTAAGCATAATCTAAAATAAAATAAAATCTATCTGGCGATACTATTCCATGCCACCGTAACTGATATCAGCCTATCTGCACACGAGCCGTTTCAGAATAACCTTTTTATTTTTATTTTTCATTGTTTGTTCCGTTTCATTTCTCCTTGGCAAATCAACAAACACATGGTAGACTAGAATCTCTATCATCGTCATAGTCCCAGCAATTCCTGTATTTCTCATCGACGATTTACACTTGCTTTCTTCTCTCTACATTACGGTAATATCTATGTATTTGCTTGTGTGTGATTGATTGATTGATTGTTAGGGTTTGATTTGATATTGATGATGAGATCTGTGTGGTATTGAATGGTTTGGATCTGAATTTGTGGCTTTTATGGCAGGTTTGAGGGAGAAGAGATAGAGAGAGAGAGAAGGTAAAACGATGGCGCATAAAGTAGATCACGAATACGACTATCTATTCAAGATCGTGTTGATCGGAGACTCTGGGGTTGGGAAATCCAATATTCTCTCGAGATTTACCCGGAATGAGTTCTGCTTGGAGTCCAAATCCACGATCGGTGTTGAGTTCGCTACCAGAACTCTTCAGGTGAAGTTTCTCCCTACTCTCTGATGCCCTCACTTTTTTTTTTTTGGTTGTCAATCGGGCTTGAATTTGACCTGTTTAATTTGAATGTTTGTTTAGAACTTCTGACGTTTCTGGGTTTTTTTAATTTAATTGTTTGGTCTTAGTTTTTTTGTGTGGATCCCCTGCACTTTGTCCCGCTGCAAATATCCCACAATAGATCATGTTAGTTGTAACTCGTAAAACAGTAGGAAAAGCGTTGGCAGTACATCTAAAAGAAAGTGTGGGTTTAGGAAAGGGTCAGAGAAAAAAGTTACTAGCGTGAAATTCTAACACTGAAATGTCAAGAAGAGTCTTTGGATGGTAATTTCCAGTTTAGGTGAATACTTTATGTGCTGAGTGTACTTGGCACCATGGAATCCAACTGAGCATTGGAATTGGAAGCCATTGTAGTTCAAAAGTTGTAAGTACGATAACTTGCAATGACAAATCCAAGGCTTGGATCTCTTGAGGCCTAACATGGCGTGTTTTATGGTAATTACTTGATGTTATGGGCAACAGAATGGGGTAAGTAGATTTTCAATGGGATGACACCATAAGGCTTACAGGACCACATGATCCGGTAATGGATTGATGTGCATTCTTTCTTCAGTACAAGTGTCCCTTGGTAATTTGATTATATATCATACATTAATAATGGGGTTCAGGCAGGATATGGGTTCACTTCACCAACATTTTACCTGAAGTTTCTGCAGATTAATGAATGTGATTGTTTAGTATTCATTTACTGTAGTTTACAACTTTGATTCAACACACTTGTACTGTTGAAATTGGGAAGTGCTTAGCAAAGTTTTCTAGCCCATTCCATGTACATTTTAGTGTAAATTTGTTCACGCAATTTGAACAATACACAACATTTGATTGGCTTATTTTCAGTTTTTGGTGGGACCAATGTTGTGTATTGTTCATATGTGTGTGAACAGATTTGCACTTATGTACATTTAGTTCATTAAGGCTTTGTTGGTTTGAACTTGTCTACTAATCATATGCTAATCTATAATATTTAGGAATCCCAATTTATTTTTTCACTTAATAGTTTGAAATTGAAAGTATGTCTGCATATGGAATATATTACAAGATATGCATCACTTTTTTGTTTCAAAATTGGAAGCGAGTGTTCCTTCTCTCTTCCTTTTTCATTTCCATGCAGTTTAAGGAATGATGGATTTTAAAATATCCATTATGCCAATTCTAATGCATATTTTACCAAATTTTCTGATACAGGTAGAGGGAAAGACAGTTAAGGCACGGATATGGGATACTGCAGGCCAGGAGAGGTACCGAGCTATTACTAGTGCTTACTATAGGGGAGCAGTAGGTGCATTCCTCGTCTATGACATAACTAAGAGGCAAACCTTTGACAATGTCCAGAGGTGGCTCCGTGAATTAAGAGACCATGCAGATTCAAACATTGTAATCATGATGGCTGGAAACAAGTCTGATCTAAACCATCTCAGAGCTGTTTCGGAGCAGGATGGTCAGGTCTTGGCTGAGAAGGAAGGACTTTCATTTCTCGAGACATCAGCATTGGAAGCACTCAACATCGACAAGGCATTCCAAACCATTTTGACGGAGATATACCACATCATAAGCAAGAAAGCATTGGCAGCCCAGGAAGCAGCCGCTGCCACTGCAATTCCTGGTCAAGGGACAACTATCAATGTCAGCGATTCATCAGGGAATACAAAGGGAGGTTGCTGTTCTACTTAGTTGACATTCAATGGAAGAACCGAAGATTCAATACCAAGCACAAACTTTTTTTTTCTTTTTCTTTTCCCCCTTTTTTTAGGCAAGATAGAGACTTGTAGAATATTTTTTCCCAGTTGTGATGAAAAGGAAGCTTGTGACAGTTGAAACTAAAAATATGGTTAGCGGAAAATGACTGATGCTGAGGCGGCTCTTGGGTGGGAAGTTGAATATCTCAATTGGGAGATACTGTAGGGCAAAATCGGTGGCATTGTAAGTTTGGCGTTCCCTTTGGACTGATGTTTGTTGGATTACTTCTGTAATAAAAACCATGCCATCTTTATGAGATTATTATTTGGTCTTCACTTCATGTCATGTGCCTCAAACTTTTTTTGGAATCTTTGTTTTTTGGAGTTTTTAAGTTGTGACTGCTGAATCTTGTAGATGACAATTCCACTTCAAGTTGCAACGACAGAAGTTTTTCCAGAGAATGGAGGAAATGGATGGTTGATGTAAAGTTGACTCTTTTTTTTTTTTTGAGATGGGGACTCTCTAGGATATGTTAAAAGGGCAAAATTCACTTCTGTAATGGCCACGGTACTTTACAACCTATGGCGGCCTATGGTTCAAATGTGATTTTGAATTAAAGTATAATAATTAACTCGGTTAATGGTAGATGTGAAATGACTTTAATACCTCTTAAGTTGTCTATTCTATTTCTTATTTTGTCTCTCTCCTCTATCATACACTATTTTTAACTTAACCAACATTAATTCAATTAAATCACAAATTAATTCTAAATTTCTAATTATTTATTGTATTCCTAACTTTTTAACTTAATTTAATTTAATTATGATTTTTTTAAATCATACAAAAATGGAAAGATTTGAAAAACAAAAAAAAAAACAAAGACACAAGAATGATCTCTACGCAACACAAGAATGCATACAACTATCTGTCAATCTAGGCAAAGGGCATTTCGCAAAGCTGTTGAAGTTGTTTTTCCTAAATGGCATTTCATGGCAATGGTCATAGAGGAGAGATGGGTGAGAAAGTTGGGGCGATTATCGGAGAGGAGAGATAAAGCCTCCGTTTGGCAAGAAAAAGCCCAGGCTTTTTTGGCTAAAATAGCCACAAAAAACAAAATAGGCTATTTTAGGCACAAAAAACAAAACATCAAATCCAACCCATAATCATTACAATCCTCTCTCACAAAAAAAGTCAAAAAAGCCAAAAAGCCAAAAAGCCCTTCCCAAACCAGGCTAAAATAGCCCAGGCTAAAATAACCAAAAAGCCAAAAAGCCAACCCACTTCCCAAACGGAGGCAAAATGGATGGAGGAAGAGGAAGAAGGGTACTGCTAGTTAGGGTTAGGGTTAGGGTTAGGGTTCGGGTTCTTAGGTTTAGAGGTAGTTGATGAAGATAAGGGTAGAAGTGTTTTTATTTCAAGATGAATTAGAGCCATAGTGTCAAGTTTAACCCTTGTTTCGTATTAGTTCTTATAATTGTGTTAATTAAGCTCCTCTAGTACAATTTAGTCGCCGGAGGTTATATAAAAATAAAATATATACCCAAGTGTTCTATTAATTACTATAAGACCTTATATTATTATAATTAAAATCGAGTTTGACCCTTGTTTCGTATTAGTTTTTATGATTGTGTTAATTAAGCTCCTCAAGTACAATTTAGTCCTTGAAGGTTATATAAAAAATAAAATATATACCCAAGGGTTCTATTAATTACTATAAGACCCTATATTATTATAATTATTGAACTCCCTTTTAATTATTAAATCTTCGCGTGTTTTGAGTTTTTCGATTTCTATTTTAAACTCTTTTATATCATTATAAGTATATACCACTTGTTTTACTCAAATAATTCTATTAGGATCTATTAGATTTAATGTAGCTATACTTTTATCTTTATGCCAAAACTTTAATAGATTGTCACTATATAATTATTTACATCTTTCCCTTTGTTCTTCTTGTTGAATTGCGCCTTGAATAGTGAGTTCTTTAATATGTAATGCAGTTTCGCAACATGTTGGAGAGACAAATACCTCTTAGGCAAGAATATAGTCACTAAACCTTAGGGTCAGGATTGTAAAGTAGTAAGAACCAAAATTGAACAAAACAGAAAGTATAAAGACCAAATTGAAACTTTGAGGAAACTACGATGCAACACAAGAATGCATACAAATATCCGACAATCTCGTCAATCTAGGCAAGAGGCATTTCATGGAGTTATTGAAGTTGTTTTCCCTTGGCATGTCACGGCAATGGTCATAGATGAGAGATGAGAGAGAAAGGATGGCTGGAGGAGGAGGACTGGTATTGCTAGTTAGAGTTAGGGTTCTTTGGTTTGGAGGTAGTTGATGAAGATGAGGGTACTAGTGTTTTATCTTATTTTTGAAAAGGCCCACTCTTGAAATTGACAAAGCATATTACACCTTTCATTAATTTAGATGAAAAAATAAATAAATAACAGCTGATTCTTTTTGGATTATAAAGGATAAAATACTTTAGTCTCAAAAGATAAAGGGGAAAATTAAATTTTGTCCAGGTTAAAAATCAACAGATTCTATCCCATTTGACAAAATCAAGGTGGTTTAACTAACTTTCTGCATACAAGCAAAGAAACAAAGAAAAAAGGAAACAGAAAAGAAAGACAGAAAACAAACTAGAGTTTATAATCCCTGTTTAGTTTGTATAGTTACATGATGAATGTTGTATGTTCTTTCACAGTAATCCTTAATCTTGACAAGAATTTCATTTGAGTTAACACCAGCCTCAGCTATTACATGGCAAGTCAATATAGTTTTCCCAATTGTGATGGCCCAAACATGCAGGTCATGAACATCATGAACTCCTTTGATACATTTGAGATCTTTTTCAAGGCTAGCAATATTAATTTCACTTGGTGTCCTCTCCATCAATATACAAGTAATGTCTCTAAGCATTGGTATAGTAACACCAAGAGGGAAAACCGAAAAGAGGGTACAAACAAGATTGACCACCAACCAATCGAGTTTCACCCATATGATGGATCCGACAATCATCACCCAGCTGATTGAATCAGATCAGCCATCACATGCAAGTAAGCCTGTGAATATTTATGTTCAGTCTTTTGGTCTTCACTGGCGTGCCAACGACCAGACTAGCACTCTCTTTGTCATTTCTTGCACATAGCGTCTCGCTCTCGTGACTGTGATTTTTGTCTGTGCAGGCATGATGAGATTGAGAATGAGAATGACCATGACCGTGATCGTGACCAAGCCATATGACCATAATGAAGTTAATCATGAAAACAAGTGTAGCAGATTGCAAACATGAGCTTCCCAACTTGAAGTCCATACGGTGAAAAGAGAAAGAGAGATTCTAGCAATGTCAATAAGCAAGTGTGCAAGTGTGATGCATCTGTTAGCAAGTGTGACTTTTAATTTTTTATTTCTTAACCAAATTAATTTTTATTTTTTTAAATAAATTTCTGAAAATTATACCAAACACTATGAAGCACGGACACCTCTCCGAGGGCTCCGTACCAGTGTCAGACACGTGTCGGACACGGACACGCGTCGGACACGGACACGCGTCGGACACGCGGTGGACACGTGTCCAACACGCATGGGAGAGTGTCCCATTTTTTTTTAAATTTTTTTACATCCGGACACGTTTTGGACACGTTTGAGACACGCGCGAGGGCAATTTCACAATTTACTAAATTTTTTTGGGGTCGATTTGAAAATAAGCAAAAATAGATCAAATTTGCCCTAATCTACTATTCGCCCTAATCTACTTTGAATCGACTTTCGAATAAAAGATAAACAGCAGAGAAAGGGTGAGAACGAGAGAAAGAGAGAGGACCTGACTTCGTCGTTCGTCTTCTCTCGTCGATCGTTGCTCCTCGTCGGCCGTCTGTCGTCGATCGTCTGTCGTCGATCTTCGATCTTCTTTGTTCGATCTGCAATCTGCGATCTTCAGTCGATTTTCTACTTCGTTAAGGTACGACTCTTCTTTGATCGCTCTCTCTCTCTCTCTTCGATAGCTCTCTCTCTCTCTGTGTCTCAGCCTCTTCTTTCCTCACAATTTACTTCGCCCTTATTTCATTTTTTTGTTTTATTTTTTTTTGTTTTATTTTGATTTTGATTTTGATTTTATTTTTTTCTTTTATTTTTTTTTCTTTTATTAATTTAATTTTTTCTTTTCTTTTTCTTTAATTTTGATTTTGTTTTATTTTATTTTTTCTTTTCTTTTCTTTTCTTTTTTTTTATATTCTGATTTTATTTTTTCTTTTCTATTATTTGAGGATATAATTTTAATAATGTATATTTATTAATTTTATTATAGGGACCAATTATTAATTCTGAAACAATGGCTACGGGTGGTAGTTCTAATGATATACCTGATGATGAAGAGGAGAACATGTGAGAGTGGGAGTGGGAGTGCTATTGAGAAAGCATTCAACTTGAAGGATAGAGAGCAATTGCATTTTGAAATTGCTAGGATGTTCTACTCGGGGGGGTACCTTTTAATCTTGCAAGAAATCCTTACTATGTTAGCTCTTACACATTTGCTTCAAATCATAATATTCCTGGATATTTGCCTCCCGATTATAATTTGTTATGAACCACATTACTCCAAAAAGAGAGGGCAAATATTGATAAATTGTTGCAACCAATTAGGGGCACATGGAAGGAAAAAGGGGTGAGCATTGTTAGTGATGGTTGGAGTGATTCTTAAAGGAGGCCTTTGATTAATTTTATGGTAGTGAGTGAAAGTGGGCCTATGTTCATTAAAGCAGTTGAGTGTTCTGGAGAAACTAAAGACAAATATTTCATTGCAAATTTGATGAAAGAAGTGATTAATGAGGTTAGGCCAAGTAATGTGGTTCAAGTCATCACGGATAATGTTCCTAATTGCAAGGCAGCCGGACAACTCATTGAAGCTCAATTCCCTCATATTCTATGGACTCCTTGTGTGGTGCACACATTAAATCTAGTTTTGAAAAATATTTGTGCTGCAAAGAATATTGAGAGGAATGAAGTCACATATGAAGAATGTAGTTGGATTAGTGATATTGCCGGAGATGGTTCGATGATTAAGAATTTTATCTCTAATCACTCAATGCGATTGGTTATGTACAATGAATTTGTGTCATTGAAGTTGCTTTCGGTTGCCAAAACACGATTTGCCTCCACAATTGTTATGCTTAAGAGGTTAAAGCTTATAAAACGTGGTCTTCAAGCAATGATAATTAGTGACAAGTGGAATTGCTATAGAGAGGATGATGTTGGGAAGGCAAAATTTGTGAAAGAAAAGATTTTTGATGATGTGTGGTGGGATTACATTGATTATATTCTTTCCTTCACGGG